AGGAGAATCACTTGCACCCAGAAGGAGGCTGAAGTGAGCCGAGATCGTGCCATTGCACTCCAGCCTGGGCGAAAAGAGCAAAAACTCTGTCTCAAGAAAAAAAAAAACAAAAACCAAGTGTGAACTACCATGCCTGGTCTCTGTATTTCTTTAAATAGTTATCTTCTTCTTTAGACTGAGATCCAATAACAATCAGGAGAAAATTTTAAAAAGTAATTTAATAAACATAACTTAAATAGGAGATTAAAATGATATAAAAATAGCTAGCAAAAAGTACTACATTCTTACTCTTTTGCTACCCTGTCCTACCGTCTTTAACTTCCATGTATTTATGTTCGTTCTTTCAATACTTCAAGCTCTACATTAACTCAAAGCCTAATAGGATGTTCAATATGTTACATAACAATAATTTTCTGTGAATCTTCTGACCTTATATTTTACAAGGAAACTTTTACAATATAAATTTTATAAAGTTGCGTTATAAACAAATGTTATATTGTTACTAATATGATTATGTAAGTCCTTAACAACAACTTATATTGGATCATCAGACAGAATAGTCAAATCAATAAATGGCGAATTACTAAGTCCTAAAGACTGAGTATATTTGGAAAAATGCATTCTTTCTAACAAAAAGTTTTAAAGCAGGAGTCAGCAAATACGGCCTGAGAATGAAATCCAGCCACCACCTGTTTTTGCAAATAAAGTTTTACTGGAACACAGTCATGCTCACTCATTTAAATATTATCTATGGCTAATTTTGTGTTCCAACTATAGAGTTGAGTAGTTGCAACAGAGACCATATTGGCCCATAAAGCTTGAGTTATTTATTTTATTTTATTTTATTTTTGAGATGGAGTTTCGTTCCTGTTGCCCAGGCTGGAGTGCAACAGTGCGATCTTGGCTCACCGCAACCTCTGCCTCCCGAGTTCAAGCAATTCTCCTGCCTCAGACTCCTGAGTAGCTGGGATTACAGGCATGTGCTACCATGGCCAGCTAATTTTGTATTTTCAGTAGAGACTAGGTTTCTTCTTGTTGGTCGGGTTGGTCTCGAACTCCCGACCTCAGGTGATCCGCCCACCTTAGCCTCCCAAAGTTCTGGGATTCCAGGCATGAGCCACTGTGCCCAGCCAAGCCTGAGCTATTTACTATCTGGTCCTTTACTAAAATATTTTGCTAACCCCTATTTTAAAGTGTCATACTTCCTGCCCCACTTCAAAGAATGGCTAGTTTCATGAATTGAACTAATTCTCAATTACCTTCATAAATAGGAGATAATATATTTTTTTTAATTTTTAAAAATTTAAAAAGCTGAATAGGCGGGGCACGGTGGCTCATGCCTGTAATCCCAGCAGTGTTGGAGGCCAAGGTTGGCGGATCACCTGAGGTCAGGAGTTTGAGACCAACCTGGCCAACATGGTGAAACCCTGTGTATATTAAAAAATACAAAAATTAGCCAGGCGTGGTGGCAGGCACCTGTAATTCCAGCTAGTTGGGAGGCTGAGGCAGAATTGCTTGGACCCAGGAGATGAAAGTTACAGTGAGCCAAGATAGTGCCACTGCACTCCAGCCTGGACAACAGAGCAAGATCTTGTCTCAAAAGAAAAAAAAAGCTGAATAAAATAAATCATGAATAATGAGGCTTAACAATAAACACTTAACTGTTAAAATGGCAATAGTGAAATAAAGGCTCATACAAATATTTTTAAAAGCCAAAAGTTTATTTTCATTTACTACTTTGCTCATTAAAATTAAGATCTAACCTGATTGATCCAAGGACGTGTAAAATCTTCTCTCCATCTAATGGATAGTCAACATTTGGGGGTGGGGAGGGACGCTGAAATATAAATATCATAAACATAAGTCCACACATGTTGTAACCTTTGCAAAAAGATGCTTTTTTTTTTTTTTTAAACTTACCTCGTTATTCCCATCAATATTAAATTTTGCTGCTTGGATTTTTAGTCCTCGCTTCAGATCACTTACAAAGCAAGTACGCACTTAAAGGAAGAAAAGGAGACCTTGTTATGGCTAGTTGATTACAACTGAACAGAGTGAACCTACACCCCAGTTAAAACAATTCAAGTGAACATGCTAATCATCTATTCCTTTGGATTTTATAAACCCTATTTCCATCTTTAGTTAGCTAACAGTAATTTGTTCATTAAAAAACCTGTTTTGGCTGGGTGCAGTGGCTCACCCCTGTAATCCCAGCACTTTGGGAGGCCGAGGCAGGCGGATTACCTGAGGTCAGGAATTCGAGACCAGCTTGCCCAACAGGGCGAAACCCCGTCTCTACTAAAAATGCAAAAAATTAGCCGGGTGTGGTGGTGGGTGCCTGTAATCCCAGCTGCTTGAGAGGCGGAGGCAGGAGAATTGCTTGAACCCGGGAGGCAGAGGTTGCAGTGAGCTGAGATCGTGCCACTGCACTCCAGCCTGGGCAACAAAAGTGAAACTCTGTCTCAAAGAAAAAAACCAAAATAGAACAAAACAAAACAAAAAAACAACCTTTTTCATTAACTAAGGTGTCATAAGACATGTTGTACATTCATCTTGTATAAAACCTCATTTTAAAAAAATCATCTTTAAAGAAACTGTTGTTTGACATCTCTTATATAAGGAGAACCACAACAAAAGTTAATTTTACCATCATAAAAAAGTAGCTATTCTAACTGAATAGTATATTTCTTTAAACCAGATTTTCTTTCTCCCTCTCTCTGATTCTTTTTAAGGAATCTTCTTGTGAAAAGATGTTACCAAAAAGAAATTGGAAAAAAAAAGAAATAAAATTAATAAATATCTTGATTGGTCAGAACACAATGCCAAATTTTTTTTTTTTTGACAGAGTCTCACTTTATTGCACAGACTGGAGTGCAGTGGCGCGATCTCGGCACACTGCAACCTCCACCGCCTGGATTCATGCGATTCTCATACCTCAGGCACCCAAGTAGCTGGGATTACAGGTGCACGCCACCATGCCCAGCTAATTTTTGTATTTTTAGTAGAGACAGCATTTCGCCATGTTGGTCAGGTTGGTCTCGAACTCCTGACCTCAAGTGATCCACCTGCCTTGGCCTCCAAAAGTGATGGGATTACAGGCACGGGCCACTGTGCCTGGCTGGTACAATGCCAATTTTTGCTCTTAGTTGCAATGTAACACTCCTTAGTTTTGGGCTTTTTGTAATGATTGTTCCTTGTTAGCACACCCCAACACTACCGTTTTCTTTCTACTATATCACTTTACTTTTTGCATGTCGAAAACTTTTTCTTTTAAAAATTCTATTGCAAAGTATTTTTTATAATGAGTTGCTTAAAATTATTTCAAGGTAGTTAGGGAATACTTTTTTTAAAGTAGAGATAAAATTGATGTTAAATGCAAGAAATTCGACAACTTGGTTGTATTACTCGTAAAGCATGTTAGCCATATATATTATGAAAAGAATTATGCATAATATATATGATATAATGCATATTGATATGATATATATATTATACACAATTCTTTTCATAATACATTATGTAGTGAATTTCATTCACTAATTCAAACCACATGTGTTGAGAATCCACAATATGCTACTATGCTAGATAGTGAGCCAGGCGCTAAAGCTACTTGTATGTTTTATATTTTATTCAAGTTCTCGTGACTATCTAAGCAAAGTAAATACCTAGCCTTGAGATCTTTTATTTGTTTTTGAGATGGAGTCAAGATTCCCTTGCCCAGGTTGGAGTATAGTGGTGCAATCTTAGCTCACTGCAACCTCTGCCTCTGGGATTCAAGTGATCCTCCCACCTCAGCCTCCCAAGTAGCTGAGACTACAAGTGGGTACCACCATGCCTGACTAATTTTTTGTAGTTTTATTTTTATTTTTTTGAGATAGAGTTTCACTCTGTCATCCACCCTGGAGTCCAATGGCATGATCTCGGCTCACTGCAACCTCTGCCTCGCAATTCCAGATCACACAATACAATGAATATGTGTATGCTGCATGTTAGTTTTTGTTTTTGTTTTCTTTTGAGACAGTCTTGCTCTGTCACCCAGGCTGGAATGCAGTGGTCTGAACTTAGCTTACTGCAGCCTCCACCAAGAGATCCCAGGTTCAAGTGATCCTCCACCTCAGCCCCTCTAAATAGTTGGGACTAGAGGTCTGTACCACCACACCTGGCTAATTTTTGTATTTTTTGTAGAGACAGGGTTTCATCACGTTGTCCAGGCTGGTCTTGAACTCCTGGGCTTAAGTGATTCACCTGCCTTGGCCTCCCAAAGTGCTGGGATTACAGGGGCCAGCCACTACACCCAGCCTGCATATTTGTTTTTAACAGAAAGGGTTTCTACTGTACATACCTTCAGCAACATGCTTTCTTCCTTTACATTATGGACCTTCTTCCAAACCAATACTCTAGCTCTTCTTTTAACAGCTACATGACATTCCTTATAATGAAATTACCAAACTTCATGCAATAACCCTTTTTAGATGGGATGCACACTTTGAATTTTAATAAATATGCCAGATTGCTTTCCAAAAAGGTTAGTTTGCAATCCTTACTACTAATAATAAACATTCATTTTCCTACCATCTCACTAATACCAGATGTATTTCAAATTTTTGCCAATCTGATGTCTCCCTGACTAATGGTAGAGTTAAACATCTTTTCACAGGTTGGAGGCCATATGAAAAGAAAACACTCCACATCGTCAACAATTGTTATATCATGGAGGATAGAAATGGAAGAGAGGAAAGGAAACCATTTTACCTGAGATATTTCTGTATTATTTGAACTACTGTAATAAGCAGTACAAATGATTAATATTTTATAACAAATTGAAAAGAATTTAGGTAATTAAAACACATAAAAGATATTAAGTAATATAATGGAAAGCAAGATATATTTTGTAGCTGTAGCTCTAACCCTACCTACTTGTGTGACACTGAACAAATAACTTAACATTTCAGAGCCCCAACTGTATATCTCCGGCTCTCATTTAACTCTGAAATCCATTACTGTCTACCTATTAAGCATCCTAAATTATTAACATTAATGACATGCCAAGTATTGAAGAAGATTATATTTTAAATGTATTTTATTTCAGTGAACAAAAATACCAGAAAACCCAATTTGAACATTATCATAGAAATTCACTCTAGCAAAGTAGAAGCAATCTCACTTAGGTGAATCCAACGTACCGTGTAGTACTTTGGTCACAATTTCAGAATGTTTTAGAAAAATGTATGAAGAAAACTAGAGTAAAAAACATTATACTAATCAAACCAGTAGCTTTCTTAAGCAATTTAACTGTTCTTTCACACTGCAAAATACTAGGTTCCCTGGTAACCCTGTATACTCTATACAATTGAGAAGCTGCTTCAGTAACACATCATCACTATGCCACAGCTTCCCTAAGTGTGAAAAAAAATTGGAATTTGTACTTAAGAGTATCCCATAGTCTATATATTAAATACTTTTAGGATATTATATTATGAATATATTTTCTATCTGTCTAACTGTTTAGAAGCATATGCCCTACAAACTAACACTTAAGGATGAAAGGGACAAAAATGAGAACTTACTTTACCTTTAATGTCCTCTAAGACACCTTCTGGAACTGAACCTAAAAAAAATATTTCATTTAGAATTATAAAACCTTAATAATAATTAAAAACAGTCTATTAAATTGCCTTCACATTTCTATTTTTCAGTTTAGAAAAAATTTTAAAAATACAACTACTATAATTTTCTCAAAAAGTCTAACAGAAAAATTTAATTTTGTTTTAGGGAAGAAATACCATCATTCAAAGGCAAGACAAACCATGGAAATCGAAGCAAAAAATTGAAGTTTCAAGTTTATCTTTCCAGTGATAATAAATAGTTGTCAGTAACATGCTAACATATTTTTTAAAAGTACCACACACATGGCGGGCGCCTGTAGTCCCAGCTACTCGGGAGGCTGAGGCAGGAGAATGGCGTGAACCCAGCAGGCAGAGCTTGCAGTGAGCCGAGATCACGCCACTGCACTCCAGCCTGGGCAAAGAGCAAGACTCTTTTTTTAAAAAAAAAAAGTACCACACACAGTCTTTTAATCTTTTCCTTCAAGGTAAAGGTGACATTTTAAAAATGAGTGAGAAAGTACCTATTCATTCTTTTTTGAATTAAGTTCTATATACTAAATGAAAGAGGCTCATTCAAAGTTCACCTAAGGATACCAAGTATATCTATCTTCATGCAATACAGGGAGCCTTTGGAAAGTGAATATTTGGATATGTTACCATTGTTATAAAATTTTGTTGCCAAAAATCTGTCTCAGAAACAAAATTTTCTAACCTAAAGTCTTCAAAACTAAGAATTTTTAACCCATTGTAAAAAAATATGGAAAAATATTTTCATTGATTTATAAGAATAAATTATTGATATCAGAGAAGATAGACATCTACAGCTGAAAATAAATCATTATTTAATAAGCATAATTATGGCCTTCTTCCACCTGGATCTACATTTGTTGTCAGCTATAACTTTCAGTTCTGAGAACCATTAAAATTAAGTATTAAAATCAGGTAAACTTAGAAACCACACCATTAAAATGTTAAGCCATAATTTAAAAAAAAAAAAAAAAAAGCACATTTAATGTTTAGTTATATGGCAAAAGATTTTTACCTTTAGTAAGTATAACTTTAGAATTATTTGTTATTTTACCTTTATTATCTCATCCTTTCCAAAGGCTTACTTTTGTGTTTCATAATATAGTAACAATAGTACATACATGGTTTATAAATAAACACACATACTCTAGATAATATGTTCAAAGTTTTATTTTACCTGTGGGGCCAGTACATGATAAAAATTTTTTGAAGATTTCCTATCTTTGAGTGTTAAAATTTATCAAGAGGATAAAGATATGCCAGAAGATTTAATCCTGGTTATAAATAGATGAGAGAAATGTAACTTGACTGTAAGAACCTGCAATTTAAAAATAAGTGCTAAAACCTAGAGCATTCCACAACTTCAATGCTCTCTCTTGGAACATTTATATAAATTTTAACATGTGTCAAAGAAATCTGGTAATATGAGAAACTATTTTCTTTAGGCAAATGTAAGGCAGGCCTGGAAATAAAGAGTTTAATTTAGCTAAGAGTAGATGCTGCTTTGGTAAGGAGCTCCTTAATCATAAGGAGCAAATAATCATAAGGGGCAAATAATCATAACTATTTAAATTTTGCAAGTAAAGAATAGAAACAAGAGGCATTCCCTGGCTCTAGCTCTAAAAAATCACTTACATTTCAGTTAGGAAACTAAGAAACATAACATGTTGGTATATAATTTAAACTGTACATTTTTCCAATCAGTGTACTTAGTTTAGCCTTTTTGAGTTACTATGATATATTCAATTTTAAACTAAGTTCTAAACAGTAAATGAAAGAGGCTCATTCAAAATTCACTTAAGGATACTCAAGCATATCTCAGACTTACATGTAATCTTTGCTAAGAATCTGGAAAAGAGACATTTTAAATTCGTTTGCATTTTCTTTTTTATTTTTATTTTTGAGATGGAGTCTCCCTCTGTCACCCAGGCTGGAGTGCAATGGCTCGATCTCGGCTCACTGCAACCTACACCTCCCAGGTTCAAGCGATTCTCCTGCCTCAGCCTTCCGAGTAGCTGGGATTAGAGGCCCGTGCCACCATGCCAATTTTTTTTTCTTTTTTAATGTAGAGACAGGGTTTCACCATGTTGGTCAGGGTGGTCTCGAACTCTTGACCTCAAGTGACCCACTCACCTTGGCCTCCCAAAGTGTTGGGATTACAGGCGTGAGCCACCGTCCCCAGCCGTATTTGCAGTGGGTGCTTTGGCAAATATTTATATGATTTGATTCCACAATTTTGTAGGACTGCATGGCTATCACAGACTCAGATTGTGAGGAGTATTAAAGGGAAAGGTTTGAATCAGTACAAGGTGGACTAGAAAAAGAATATCCAAGAATGTATCATTTATAATTTTATGGAAATATTACTGGGTTTAAAGACCTTTACAAAGAACATCTTGCGATGCTATACTGAATTTATTATCTTTGAAGACCTTTTATAAATTACCTGTCACCAAAATATACTAAGACATCACAACATTATCTGGAATTTGAAAGCTATAATTGGATCTACAGAATGAAAAATGCTATTAACTTAACTATCAATAAGGAACAACAGGAAAACATAGGTATGCCTAAGTGTCCCAAAAATCTGGCTTTCCAACATATATTCAATGCCCCAGCACTATACTAGGTGCTACAGATTGAAAAATAAACAAGACAGGGATCCTCAAAGTCTCCTGGGGGAAACAAGCAAGTTAACAGGCAAATGAGAATGTGTCATATGTGCTATAATAAATTACTGCTGAGAGCTTAACAGAGAGGAGCAATTTATTCTGCTTAGGGAAGATGAGGAAGGTTTCACCATTAAGGTGACATTCCAGCTGAGTCATGCAGAGGGATCAAAAACCCAGCTAGGCAAAGAAAATCATCCCAGGGAAAGAAAAAGAATAAATGAAAGCACAGGGTTGTGCTAGGACTCACAGTGCCTCGACAACTGTAAGGAATTTACTGAAGATTTAATAAAGAACAAAGGATAAAGTTTAGTGATCTAAGGGTAAGAGGTAGAACAAACTCAGATTTTGAAGAAACATTTATATCCAATAGATAATTTGGATTTTAACTTGTAGCAGCTTACAAAAATTCTCAAGCAGAACAGCAATGTAGTTATATTTATTTTGTGAAAAACTGGCAGGGCATGGTGGTTCAGGCCGTAATCCTAGCATTTTGTGGGGCGGGGGCTGGTGGATTGAGCTCAGGAGTTCGAGACCAGCCTGGACGACATGGCGAAACCCCATCTCTACAAAATGTACCCCCCAAAAATTAGCTGGGAGTGGTGACTCGTGCCTGTAGTTCCAGCTACTCAGGAGGCTGAGATTGAAGAATGGCTTGAGCCCAGGAAGTGGAGACTGCAGTGAGCCAAGATCATGCCACTGCCCTCCAGTCTGGGCAACAGAGTGAGATCCTGTCGCAAAAGCATAAAAATATTTTGTGGATGATTGTATATTTAGAAAACCCCATTGTCTCAGCCCAAAATCTCCTTAAGCTGATAAG